GTCCATGTAAGTGAAGTTGCCTCAGCCGGACTACCCAACTCATAAGCACGCCACCACTGATAGGATGTTCCTCTAAGATGGAACGTAGTGAAAGAAACCCCACTCGACTCTACTACACCCATGGTATGGAGGATACGGTGACACTCCTCAAGAAAACCCTGGGCATCCTCTGACACCAAGCCACTGAAAGTAGGAGGGGTGGTACTTTTTGTACCTCTCAAGCCTGAGCTGCTCCGCCTCAAAAACTGCTACCCTAACCTCGGGCTGAACTGGAGCTACCGGCTGTATCGATATGATCTCTGGAACCTGGTCGACCTGAACCCGCTGCTCTGGGGTACAAGCGGCGGGAGTCTATGCTCCTCCACCCGGCCTGAGATGTGGCAGGAGCAAGTGGGATCAACCCTACCTGAGCTAGACTACCGAACATGCTCAGGAGTTGTGCCAGGGTCTCTTAAAGAGCTGGTGTAGTAACAAGCGTCTCAGGAGCCTGCACTCCCACTGGGGATGCTGGTGGCTCCTCTGTAGCATCTCGTGCGGGTGCTATGACTGCACCACGTGGACATCCCCGGCCTCTACCCCGGCCTCTCGCGGCTCTAGCAAGGGGCGCGGGTGCCTGGTTATCTAATCCGATTGTACGTGTCCTCACCATTTGTGAGAGAATAGAAGATATAAGTTTAGGGGATTTACCCCGAGCTAAACTCAATCAATCAACAATAACGCCTTTTCCTCGACTTTCCGACTTCGAATGGCCCAAATCTAGCCAAAAATAATCACATACTATAAATACAACTATAATAAACTAATTTAACTAATGAAATCAAGACTAACAAGAATTTCGAAAATCGCCCCAAAAAGTCGACTCGGGCCCACGTCTCGGAATCGGGTAAAAGTCATAAAATATAAATACCCATTCAATCACGAGTCCACCCATACCAAAATTACTCAAATCTGATACCAAAACCTCAACTAAAATCCAAAGATTTGGTTGAAGAACTTTCCAACTTTTTTTCCAATCTTCTCAACCCAAATCCGTAATTAAAAGATTAAATTAATGATAGATTAGTGGAATATAACCATAAATAAGTTAAGAATCATTACCCAATAGCTTCCTCTGAAAATCCCACAAATTATCGCCTAAATCCGAGCTCTCAAAGTCCCAAAGTGAAAATGAGATCAAACCCTCGTAACTTCCCCTTTTCTGCCTAGTGATCTTGCTTTCTGCGAGGAATCCACCGCATCTACGGAAAAACCATCGCAGGTGCGGACTTAACGTAAGTCCTCAAAAATCGCTTCTGCGATCAAGGCCCGCTTCTGCGTTCCTTTCACCGCTCCTACGAGTCCGCTTCTGCGAGACTCTGACCGCTTCTGCGGTCCCAGCTTGGCAGGCCCATAATCGCTTCTACGGATCGATGGCCGCTTCTGCGGTGCTGCACCTGCGGCCCAAGGTGCGCAGGTGCGATTACACCAGGTGCAGCAAGCTTCAGCCATTCCAACACAATTTCAAATGATCCGTTAACTACCCGAAATCAACCCGAGGCCCCCGGGACCTCAACCAAACATACCAACAAGTCCTAAAATATCATACGAACTTATTTGAGCCCTCAAATCACATCAAACAATAACAAAAACACGAATCACACACCAATTCAAACTTAATGAACTTGAAATTTAAAACTTCTACAACCGATGCCGAAACCTATCAAATCACGTCCGATTGACCTCAAATTTTGCACACAAGTCATAGTCGACATTACGGACCTACTCCAACTTTCGGAATCAGAATCCGACCCCGATATCAAAAAGTCTGCTCCCGGTCAAACTTCTCATAAATTCAACTTTCGCCATTTCAAGCCTAATTCAGGTACAGACATCCAAATCACAATCCGGACACGCTCCTAAGTTCAAAATCACCCAACGGAGCTAACAGAACTGACGAAACTCTATTACGGAGTCGACTTCACACAGTTTCAACTACAGTCGAAATCCTAAAACTTAAGCTTTTATTTTAGAGACTAAGTATCCTATTTCACTCCAAAACCAAAAATAAATCCTCTCGGTAAGTCACATAAGCATAAGATGAAACAGTAAATAGGGGATTTGGGCTATTACTCTCAAAACGACCGGCCGGGCTATTACTCTCAAAACGACCGGCCGGGTCGTTACACTATCTAACATTCCTATTGTATTCTTCAATTAAATTGACTAACTAATTTATCTAGCTTATTGGTTGACAGGGTTAATATCGCTCATAAGAATCTGTCGAGTTCTTACTCGCCTATTCAAGCTAACTTAACGCCTATATGTCTATGGAATTAGAACTAACAAGAACGCATTTAAAATTCATGTATATCAACCAAGCAAGATAATTAGGTATATGTTTATCCTAATCGTGAATCCGTTACCCGATGCCCAGGTTCAAGAACTTGCTCTACTCAATCCTATGTGCAATCTAGAATTTTCACTTTCGAGTTCAATTCTAGATTCGTAGATAGTATTCAATTGGCGATCAAAAAATAAAATAATTGAGCGCAAGATTGAATAAATAAACCAATATGATAAATAAGAAATCAAAATCAATATCCGAATAACAACAGTTATGAAAGAACCACAACCCTAGAACGTGAAGTTTAGCTCTACATAAACACGGTAGCCAAATAACAAATCATACAAAGAAACATAAAAATGACAAAGTTTGGTGGAAGAAAAGATGAAACTCGGCCTCCACGGCGGCTATGTGCTCTCCCTTGGTCAAACGTTACTCTAAAAAACGTTCGCCCCCTCCAAAATAGGTTTAGGACCCCTTTTATATGAGTTGATGGTAGGGTTGTGCATGGATCGGATCAGACCGTATTTAGCACATTTCGGGTTCGGATTTCGAATTCTACACAATGCAATCCGAATCTGATCCGAATTAATATCGGATCGGATCAAATTTTAAAGTTTGGATCGGATCGGATTTCGAATTTCAGATCGGATTATTATGCCTCAAAGTTGCAAACTCATATGTATATTTTCTTTATAAAAGAGGTAATATAGTAAGAAAAATTCATGTTTATGCAATTTATGAGAGTACTATGGTACCAATATAGCTAAATCCAATAATTGTAAAGGTAATAACTCGGTGGAAGATGTAAAGAAAGTATTGACTATCCGAAATTAAAGTTTAATATTTATACATGCCTTAATAATTTCGGATTTAGGATCGGATCGGGTTACAATCCGAATCCGATCCGAATATCCGAAATTTTAATAAACACTTTCCGAAATCCGATCCAAATATCTGAAATTCGAAATCTGAAATTGAGCGGATCGGTTCGAATTTCGGATATCCAATCCAAATGAACAGCCCTAGTTGAGGGTGTGTAGGGCCGAAATAATCTTGTCCCGAGCGAATTAGGAGACTTCCCCGCTTCGAGCGTCCAATAAGTTTTTCACGCTTAAATCCTTGGTTTTCTTTGAATTGTGTTTCATTTTCCTTTGTCTTACATTCGGGGGGACAAACACCGAAGAGTGTCCCCCTTTGTCACCTTATTTTATTCTTCTATTTTTCTTTCTTTTTGTTCCGTATTTTATTTAATTTTGCTTCAAATCTCTTCATTTTTACACCGCTTTATTTCTAAACAATTAAAATATAATATTAAGCATAGAGTAATATAATTAACACTCAAAAGACGATTAAAAATACTAGAATATGAGGCAACAATAGGTAAATATATGCATTATTGGCCGAATATCAGTTGGGACTTATTTGAGACATTTTTGTATGATTCCCTTTTATTTATAATGTCAATGAACTTAAATTTAATTATATAATAGGATAGAATATTATTTAAATCATAAATAAAATACATACATAAAAAATTCAATATCATATATAATATAAAAAATTATTACATATATGTGGAATTAAAATGTCAAGGATAAAATAGATATTGCATAGGATAGAAGGATCAGAATGACTATTATTTAAAGTTGAAGGATGAGTTTGATTTTTAAAACAAACTTGGGGTATGAAAATTATTCAGCGTTGTAAAGATTCAAGGATTGCTAGTAAATTTCAGTACATATGTATTTCATGAAGGAATCTCCTCCAATATATACAGAATACAACAGTTGTGTAGATGGACATAAACTCTACATGAGATAACATTGTAGCTTATCCTAATCCCTACATATATCATGTAGTTTGAATGTAAATAGAATTCAAAAATACTCAACAATTACATGGATAAGACTACGTTTGATTTACTCCAACAAGCAGAATGGTTTTAGTACTCTGTTCGTTCCAAAAAAGATTGGCAAGTTTTTGAGTATACGGTCAACAGTCTAGTATTTTTTTTTTTTTTTCCTAATTTTGATACCAAATGCTTTAATATTTAAAATTTTAAAAGTATTTTTATTCTGCAAATAGTAAAATACCATCTTTTCTGGACGAAAGGAGTAAACCTTAATTAAAGATTTTTCTTGTCCACTCCCATATTTCCCTTTTTGTTTTCATTAAATTTTTTTTAAATAAAATCTTAATTTCTTTCATAAGCTACATTGCTTAAATCTGTTAGGAGCAAAAACTTCATTTCTTTGATTGCGTCTTTCCACATAAGATTTAGCTTATTTAGTCGCTCATTCAACTGCTTAAATTAAAAATAACCGACGAATATAATATATATATATATATATATATATATATATATTGTATAACTAATATATAATTTATGTATATTGACTACAAAAAATAAAAAGTAAATCCGATTGGCTATTTGTGTAAATATATTATCCATCTACTATCAAATCATGGGCCAACCTAGGGTGAAGTGCACAAATAGCCATTTTTAGGACCTCTATACGAAACTAGTCGAAGTTCATAAAGATTTTAAAGTTAGCGGCCGCAGAATCAAAGGGTCTAAACGTTTACTCGTGGATATGAGATTAGACTATGGCGATTCAAACAATCAGATCCGAAGTCAAAATCGATTAAACTTTAAATATCTTTTAAAAATTAAATATATTTTTAAATAGGGATGCTAAAAGTAGCTACCTGGTGCCATTTCTAAGAAATTGTTTATCGTTGGGCCTATTACGAGAAAAGAGCCCAAGCGATTCTACAACGGCTAATATTCCCCTTCTTCTTCTTCCTCTGTCTCAAGTTGCAATTTTAGAAGATATCTTTTTCCAATCTCTGAAAGATAATAATTTCATGAGAGTATTAAATGGGGGTGGGTGGAAACTTCTGGGAATTGCTGAAACCGTATCGTCGAGCAGAAGGGTTTGATTTCTTGAGAAACAAACGTGTAGCAGTGGACTTGTCATATTGGATTGTTCAGCAAGAAACTGCAGTCAAAGCCCACATTCGTAATCCTCATATCAGACTCACTTTTTTCCGTACCATCAATCTCTTCTCTAAGGTACACACTATACTTACATGCACCCAACTACCAAGTTGAACTCTTTTTTCTTGTTTTTGAGGGAACAAAGTTTTCTGGGTTTGTGTTCTATTTCTCCAAAAAAAAAAAAAGAGCAATTTTTTCTGGGTTTCTGTGTATGTGTGTGTGTGTGTATTATTTAGCTTAGATAAAAAATATATGCTTGGTATCTTTGATCATCATTGTTAACACAATGTGAATTATTCAATCAATTTAAATAGGTGGAGTTAATGTAAAGACCTTATGAACATAAGAAATAACATTCATTGTAAAGGCTTTCTTTTTCTGTAATGGTTTCTTAATTGGAGCAAATGGGTGCTTCTCTGCCAACTTTAGTATTGAGGAAATGTTGTTTGTGATGATTTTTTTTTGTAGTTTGGGGCATTTCCTGTTTTCGTCGTGGATGGTACTGCGTCACCGCTTAAGTCCCAGGCAAGGATTGCACGTTTTTTTCGGGCATCAGGAATTGATCTATCGAGTTTGCCTTTGGCTGAGGAGGGCATTTCAATTGAGAGGAACAAGGCATTTCAGAAATGCGAACAAGAATGTGTGGTGAGTTCGTACTAGTAATTTTTTTTTTACTTTGAACTGATATTGTCACTGTTATTCATTATTATACTTGTCTAGGGCTCTTTAATCTGTAAAAAGTAGTTGTCACCAACAAGTCTTTGTTATTATAGCAAAGAGTGGGCTTTGAATTTTTTTTGGATAACATAAAGCCGAGAAATTGGGTAGTAGGAGCTATTCACATACTTTATTACTAAGCAACAAGTAATATAAGCCATCACATTCCTTTATAGTATTGTACAGTGCCTTAATATCTCAAGTTTTCACTGGCCAAACATAGGGTGAAATATTGCAAATTTTAGTGTCTTCCATGCTGCTTTTGACTGTTTTCTACAAAATGCAAAGGCTTATCGTTCACTCTTTTAGATGGAAGGAGTAATTTTACATAAATGTTGATGGAAATACGAGAGGGTGTGACTTAATGCAGCTCCACATTTAAGATTGCTGTAAGGTCAATTCAGGCAGATCATGCATATAACTTGTATTAGAGGAGAAAAATTGAAAGATTGAATTTGGTTTAGCTGGATCCATGGCAAATGTGGGGATGTTTAGCCCTAATCTCTTTTACAGGCAGCACAGTCTCTTATCATTGACTTTATCGATTCTTCTTTACTTTTAAACACACACGGAAGTTCTTATTCTTTAGGTGGTTTGAGTGAGCTCTACCTTCCACTCTCGCATAGCTGCTAATTTAACATGTTTCAGTAGTTAGTTAAAGTATAAATTGCTCTGTTCCATTAGGAGCTTCTTGAACTACTTGGGGTGTCAGTCCTAAAGGCAAAAGGAGAAGCTGAAGCACTCTGTGCACAGTTGAATCAAGAAGGACAAGTTGATGCTTGTATTACTGCTGATAGCGATGCATTTCTTTTTGGAGCCAAATGTGTTATCAAAAATATCCAACCCAACTCCAAAGTAAGTATGTTTTGAATCTCCTTTCTCATGACATCATGGTTAAAGATGCTATTCTATGTTCACAGTTTTTTTTTTTAATGTGGTACAAGACATGCAAGTTTACTTATTAAAAAAACATATGCAAGTGTAAACTCTTTTTTTCTCATTTTGTATGTAAATGTTGTATGGATATGTGATGATATGAAAGATGTAAACTCTTCTTTATTGTGTTCGTAAATTTATTTCTCTTTCATTTTTGTTTTCTGTCTATAGGATGTTTTGGATGCATATTTCTACTGCATGCATGTTTGTTTCTTTGCGCTTTATTTTTATAACATCAATTTTTAAAGAATGACGTTATGATTGAGGTTTTTTTCTGGTTTCTGGGCCAATATTCATAATATATGTTTCATGTGATAACAATTTATAGTAGTTATAAATAGCACTTTATAAAAGAGAGAAATATATTCTAATGGTACTCTTTTGTAGTTCTTGTAGTTTCTTATTGATATTTAGTTAGTACTTTAGACCTTCAGAGTGTTGATCTAGTGAAATAAGTCGATACAGTATCATGCCAAAATGCCCACAAATTGGTGAAGGGACCATTTGACTGCTATCACATGGTGTATATTGATCTAAATTCACTCTTTCATGAAGATGCATCTAATTTTTGGTGCAGGAACCATTTGAGTGCTATCACATGTCGGATATTGAGTCTGGTCTTGGGCTGCGGAGAAATCACTTGATAGCAATTTCACTTTTGGTGGGAAATGACCACAACTTGATTGGTGTCCCTGGGATTGGGCTTGAAACAGCACTTCGTTTTGTCAAATCTTTCAGTGAAGATGAGATCTTGTATAGGTTTGTATTTCATTTGAACTGAGTGAGCAGGTGGATTATAGGCATGGAGAATCAACAAAGATGTTTTATATTCATGTTAGTGGTTTGAGTGCCCTTTACAATTAATTGTCCGTTATGCAGGTTGCAGGAAATAGGTGGAGGGGATGTACAGGTGCTTCAGCGTGATGTCAACTTAGACTGTAATTTTATACCCAGTTCAGATGAGAGCCCTCAGAAGACCAAAGTGCGACACTGTTCATTCTGTGGGCATCCTGGCAGCAAGAAAGCTCACCTCAAGTTTGCTTGTCAGTATTGCAGTTCCAATGCCGACGAGGGTTGCATTCAGAAACCGTCGGGCTTCAAGTGTAATTGTTCCTCGTGTGATTTGGTATATCTGAAACACACGGCTTCATTGATCTTTTATTGAAATGATATATCGTCCTGTCAGACTTCTTATTCGGGCATTTCCTTCTGGGCTTATATGACAGGATAATAAAGAAAAAGAACAGAAAAGAAATGAGAATTGGCAGATTAAAGTTTGCAGAATGATCACCTCGGAGCAGAATTTCCCAAACAATGAGATTACAGAAATGTACTTGAACAAACACCAGCAGTCTGGTGAGTAAACTGGCAATGATAAAACGATACGTTTATATTTATTAGAGAAAGAGACCGGAAAAAACTAGTACAATTTTTATGTGAATAAAAACTAGTATACAATTTAACGGAAAACAGTCTCTGAAATCTTTTCTCTCCTCTTTGTTCTCATGATATTGGAGGTTGGCTATTGTCTCCCTTCTTTGAATACTAAATTTTTGTCACTGATTGGGGAAAGTCTTATTCTCTTCTTTTTTCCATAGTATCAACTCTGGTTGTTGAGTTTCTTCAGACATTATATTTTAGGTCAATGTCCCGGAAAAATCTTCTTTTCTTCTTTTTAATCATTATATCAGAGTTTGGGTATTGACTCTTTATCTGAAAATTGAAATAGAAATCCACTAATTTGGAAACTTTCCTTGGTTTAAAATTTCATGTTTAGTCTAAATTTACCTTATTTTAATAGTCTAAACTCCTAATATAAGGAGCCCCTCTTGCATACCGCAATCAATTCAAGACAAGTTCTTTTCTTTTTCCTATATTTTACTATACTTTGTTCACCGAATCACCGCCATGGCAATTTTGTAGCAGATGGTGATTATCATTTAACATGGTCAAGTCCAAAGACAGATATGCTAGTTGATTATCTGGCTTATTATCAGCACTGGGAGCCATCTTATACACGACAAAGAATGCTTCCTATGTTATCCACCATATTTCTAAGAGACGTGGCCTCAAATTCAAAAGATCAATTGTTATGCGGACAGTATGAATTTGATTCCATTCAGCGGGTAAAGACAAGATTTGGACATCAACTTTACGTAATCAATTGGAAGAAAACGACACGTGAAATGAGCAATGAAATCTGCATCCCCTCTGAAAACCCTGATACGGAGCAGGAGCTGAGGATAGCTGATGATGAGTCGAAAGATTTGCTCGATGAGCCTGAGGTTCTGCAGATTCATATCAAGGACGGATGCAGCTTTTTATCAACTGAAGAAGATATGGAGCTTGTACAGAGTGCTTTTCCAGAAAAGGTTTCCCAGTTCTTGAGAGATAAGGTGAAGAATAATGTACTTTTTTCTCTACCCTACTTTGATCCCCCGCCCTATTCCGTTCTGCAATGGTGTTTGTTTTATTTACCAAATGGTCATTTATGATATCCCAGGAGCTAAAAGAAACAAAATCAAGTAGAAAAAGATCAGTGAAGCCTGAAAATTCAGAATCACCGAGAGGCGTTCAACCCAGCATCACCAACTTCTACCGATCATCCAAAGTCCAGGTGACGCCTGGGAATGAAACTGGAAGTTCAAAGATTAGTGCGGATACTTCTGGAGAGAGAGATAAAGAACCCATCCGAAACTACTCCAAGTCTGCTAGACGCAAGCTTTTGTTTGGTTAGCCATGCAGCACGATCCAATACCTTTGCGTCCTGTAAATTGGTTTGTCACAGTTGTGTATATTGATCTTTTATTTTGGTTTCTCTCCCATTTGGTAAATGAGGTAAATATATATAGATGAGGTTCTATATTTTTGGTTGGGTTGGGGGTGGGGGGCAGCAGTTGTCACAATGATGTGCATATTAATCTTTAATTTTGTTTTCTTTCCCATTTGGTAAATGCAAGCTCACTTGTGAATGAGGTAATTGTGTATGTGTTTTTGCAGAAATGGGGCGTTCTAGTGATGCATTTGTCATAGTAATAACATGTCTCGTCTGTTTAATGCGCCTCTTTTGGCTTGTGTAACTTGGGGACTAGTATACGTAAAGTGGCAGTATCCAACACCATTATCATCCACCCCTTTAACTATTCATATTATTTAATCCCCAGTTTGCCGCCATAAATAAAACAATATATAAGCATTACCTCTTCCTCATATTTTTGTCTTTGTTAAAGTAAAGCTAATAATATCCTTATAAATTTGTTTGAGGGATGCAAGAGTATCATACATAATAATATGTAAAATTACTTGAACGAGGAACCAAATAGGAAAACAAAAAAGAAAAAAAGAAAAAGAGGGATCCCCGACCAAAATAAAAAACAAATCATGAAACAAGCAGCGAATACTCGTATATTTTTCATATATTTGATGAACTTCTAAATACTCTCAATACCCTATTTAAGAAGTTGTCACGACCCGAAATTCACACCTTTGGGACCGTGATGATGCCTAACATTTCATTTGCTAGGCAAACCAACGTTAGAATATAATTAGCCATTTTAATAAAATTTTAAAATAATTAATAACAAGAAAACAAATGCGGAAATAAAATCTGAAATAAAGTGAATAATCCATAATAATCGTGATATCTAAATATCATCCCAGAACTGGAGTCACAAGTGCACGAGCTTCTAGAATAATACAAATAAAGGTATGAATAAAATTCAAGTTGTTTGAAAAAGAATACAGAGCTGAGATAATATAGAAGGGGACTTCAGAACTGCGGACGCCATGCAGTTATACCTCAAGTCTCCTCTGGTAGCTGAAATCCGAGCAAGTCTATGGTACGCCGCTGGGACTAACTCCAAAATCTGCACAAGAAGTGCAGAGTATAGTATCAGTACAACCGACCCCATGTACTGATAAGTGCCGAGCCTAACCTCGACGAAGTAGTGACGAGGCTAAGGCAGGTCGCTTGCATTAACCTGTACACAATATTAATAATAATAACGGGAATAGTAGTAAGACCGGTAAATAATATCAATACTTGAACTCAATTCAGCAGTCACAATCCCTCAACTTGTTTCCATTGCGGCGTGCAACCCATTCTTCCAATATAAACTTTAAATAAATCTGTTGCGGCGTGCAACCCGATCCCCCATATAAACTTTAAATAAATCTGTTGCGGCGTGCAACCCGATCCCCCATATAAACTTTAAATAAATCTGTTACGGCGTGCAACCCGATCCCCCATATATATTTTTACAACTCTTAAATGTAATAGAAATACTCCAATAAATACCACGTTCAATGAGAAACTATTAAGCATCAAGGCATACGATAATTATAATTTAATTATGAAACAAACAATGACAAGTAGCAATTAATTGTGGAAATTAGGGAGAAAATAGACAGTTTCATATTTAATATGCTAAATGTCAAGTAGCAATTAAGACACATAAATCAAATAAGCATGTAAAAATTATTGCAGAAATTCAACAATTAATATTTGACAAGGAATATGAGTGAAACAATTATTATAACGATTAATTCGTGTCTTAAAATAATTTAAGATGTTTAAATAATTAAGCAAATAATTAATTTGACAAAGTATAGGCACCTGTCACCTTGCCTATACATCGTTACACATGAAATTCACATAACAAATAATTCAAGGATTTTATTCCCTCAAGTCAAGGTTAACCACGACACTTACCTCGCTTCGCAACCAAATTCAAGTTTCCAATACACCCTTGCCTCGCGAATTAGTGTCTGAAATCCTCAAATCTAGTCATAAATAATTTAATATATTCAATACAAATCGTAGGAATTAATTCCATATGAATTTACTAATTTTCCGGATTAAAATCCGAAATTTATCTCAAAAATATTAATGGGATCCACGTCTCGAATCTTGAAAAAAACTTACGAAATCTGAACACCCGTTCCGATACGAGTTCAACCCTACAAAAATTATCGAATTCCGACATCGGATTAGCTTTCGAATCTTCATTTTACATTTTTGGAAGATTTGATAAAAATTTGATTTTTCTTCTATAAATTCACGGATTCATGATGTAAATGAGTATGGAATCATGAAATATAATCAATATAGAATAAGGAACACATACTCCAATGTTTTCCTGTGAAAAGCGCCCGAAAATTGTCTTACCCGAGCTTAAAATCGAAAATGGTAGAAAATAGGACGAAATCCAATTTCCAGAACTTAAGTTCTGTTGCCCAGATTTTTACTCATCGCGATCGCGGGAATTCGTTCGCGATCGTGTAGAACAATTTTTGCCTAGGTCCATTTTACCCTTCGCGATCGCGGATAACTCTTTGCGACCGCGAAGCATATTTTGGCTTCCCAGATTATTAACTCTACGCGATCGCGTAAATGCTCATGCGATTACGGATAACATTTTCTCAACCTTACGCGATCGCGTAGCACAAATGGTGTGCCCAGCTTCTGCCTTCATTCCTTCTACGCGAACGCAGCTTGGCCCTCGCGTTTGCAGTGCACTGGGAGCTAACCTTCTGCGATCGCGTGCCTATCTCTGCGAACGCGAAGGGTAAAATCACGGCTCACAATTTCCTCTTCGCGATCGCGGGAATGGCTTCGCGATCGCGAAGCACAATGCACCAGACGACAACTGAAGCTAAAAAACAGTTTTTTTTTCAAAGTTCAAATGGTCCGTAGGCCATCCGAAACTCACCCGAGCCCTCAGGGCTCCAAACCAAACATGCACACAGGTCCAAACACCTCATACAAACTCGTTCGCGCGATCAAAACACCAATTTAACACATAGAATTATGAATCGGACACCAAATCAAACGAAATTTTTAAGAAAACTTTAAAACTTCTATTTTCACAACCGATCGTCTGAATCACGCCAAATCAACTCTGTTTCTCACCAAATTTGACAGACAAGTCATAAATAACATAACGGACCTATAAAAAATTTCAGAACTCAAATCCGACCCTGATATCAATAAAAGTCAATTTGTGGTCAAACTTTAAAATCTTTAAGCCTTTAGGCTTCTAGTTTTCGCCAACTGGCAATAATTCAAGCTAGGGACCTCCAAATTAAATTCTGGTCATACGCCCCCAAGTCCCAAATCACAATACAGACCTACCAAAACTGTCAAAATACTGATCCGAGTTCGTTTGCTCAAAATGTTGACCAAAGTCAACTCAGTTGAGTTTTAAGGCTCTATTTCACATTTTAATCATTTTTTCATATAAAAACTTTTCGAAAAATTTTACGGACTGTGCACACAAGTCGAGAAATGATGAATAGTGCTTTTCGAGGTCTTAGAATGCAAAATTAATTATTAAATTTAAAGATGACCTTTTGGGTCATCACATTCTCCACTTCTAGAACCAACGTTCGTCCTCGAACGGAATTAGAAAAAGTAATTGAGCTGGTAAAAAGGTATGGATATTTACTCCTCATGTCTGACTCGGACTCTCAGGTAGATGCTTCTACCGACTGACCTTTCCATTGTACCTGAACTGAAGGATAACTCTTAGACCTCAACTGTCGGACATGCCGTGCTAGAATAACCTCCTCTTCGAAAGTCAAAATCCCTGTCCAATTGGACTGAGCTGAAATCTAACACATGGGACGGATCACCATGATTTTTCTGGAGCATAGACACATGGAACACCGGATGAACCGCTGCTAAACTAGGTGGTAATGCAAGCCTGTAGTCTACTTCGCCCACCCTTTCAAGAATTTCGAAAGGTCCTATATACCTAGGGCTCAACTTGCCCTTCTTTCTGAACCTCATTACACCTTTCATAGGTGAAACCTGGAGCAATACTCTTTCTCTAACCATGAATGCAATATCACGAACTTTACGGTCGGCATGACTCTTTCGCCTAGACTGAGCTATGCGAAGTCGATCCTGAATAATTTTGACCTTATCCAAGGCATCCTGCACCAAATCGGTACCCAACAACCGAGCCTCTCCCTGTTCAAACCATCCAACTAGCGAACGACATCACCTTCCGTATAACACCTCATATGGAGCCATCTGAATGCTCGACTGGTAGCTATTATTATAAGCAAACTCTGCAAGTGGCAAGAACTGATCCCAAGAACCTCCAAAGTCTATAACACACGCGTGAAGCATATCTTCCAATATCTGAATGGTGCGCTCTGACTGTCCATCTGTCTGTGGATGAAATGTTGTGCTCAACTCAACCCGCGTTCCTAATTCACGTTGTACAGCCCTCCAGAAGTGTGAGGTAAATTGCGTACCTCGATCTGAAATAATAGACACGGGCACACCATGAAGGCGGACAATCTCACGAATTTAAATTTTAGCTAACCACTCTGAAGAATAGGTAACTGCCACTGGAATGAAATGTGCTGATTTGGTCAACCTGTCCACAATGACCCAAACTGCGTCAAATTTTCTCTGAGTCTGTGGGAGCCTAATAACAAAATCCATAGTGATACGCTCCCACTTCCACTTAGGAATTTCAAACTTCTGAAGCAAACCACCAGGTCTCTGATGCTCGTACTTGACTTGCTGACAATTTAGACACCGAGCTACATATTCAACTATATCCTTCTTCATTCTCCTCCACCAATAATGTTGTCGCAAATCTTGATACATTTTGGCGGCACCCGGATGAATAGAATATCTGGAATTGTGGGCCTCTTCTAGAATTAATTCACGAAACCCATCCACATTAGGCACACAAATACGACCCTGCATTCGCAGAACTCCATCTTTCCCCACAACAACCTGTTTGGCATCACCGTGTCGCATTGTGTCCTTAAGGACAAGTAAATGAGGATCATCATATTGTCGCTCTCTGATGCGCTCATATAAAGAAGACCGAGTGACTGTGCAAGCTAGAACCCGACTGGGTTCTGAAACATCTAACCTCACGAACTGATTAGCCAAAGTCTGAACATCTGCAGCTAACGGCCTCTCACCAAACGGAATATACGCAAGACTGCTCATAC